ATGTGGCCTTGACAAAAGCAGTTTGGTAGAGCAGCAGTGATGAAAGCCTGACTAAAGGTGATCCTTGACTATTTGGTTTATATTTACAAATAAGAGACTAGAAAAACTGGAAAAACGGATGTGTACCTACATGGGCGAGGCCTGCTGAAGGGCCAGCTTACAGGCAGACAGGTGTGGGTAGGACGGTACAGGTAGGAAGCAGGCTCTTACTGGGGGATTTCCAACGTGCCAGGATACAGAGAGCTCTGCTGGGGCAGCAACATCATCAGGTTGTCTGGCTTCCCCTCAAACACTTCCTATGGAAGGAACTGCCCCTTTCCTCCAGCCCCCTCTCTGCATGGTAAACATCTGTGTGCTATTCCATAATAACATTTAAGTTAACCACCCTGTGTTAAGCTCCACATCGCCCTCACGCTCTCGAGATCCTATGACATCAACATGTCCATGACCTGAAGCTCTGCAAATCAGTCCAGTTTCTTCCTGCACTACACCCCAGCACATACGCTTCAGCTGGGGCTTCCTCCACGCTGCTTCATCAATAACCAAACCTCCACCTGTTTCTCATGTGATGGCTCCTTCTTATTTGTTGTGTTCGGGATATCTTTTTTATGACTTACTATCACTTTCATAGGATATTTATTTGAAAGGAGATAAAATAAATAATTACAGTCACCCTGGTACCTTGCCTAGGTATTCACTCTTGTCAAAAACCAGGCTGCATCTCTAGGCACAACCTAATGAATTCTATCAGGCCAATCAACATACAATGGATATTGCCAAACAATGTCAAAACTCTCCCTTCAACTAGACTGAAAAGTTTATTAATTGTAGTAGCAAGTGAGAAAATTGAATGGAATGAGAAACTGATTTTATTTGTATATGCCAAACAGTCTCATGTATGCCAAGTAGCAACATACTATAACACACTATTATTGAAACCATTTATAGAAATTCTTACTGGAGACTTCAGTAATGACAAAAACCAAATAAATATAATTTTCCAGAGTTGCAAAATAACAATTATGTGCTATTGTGTCAATTCAACTTGTATGACATGGGCCAACTTTTTTTTTTTTTTTTTAAGGTTATAGGATCTCATATATTTCAACTCAAACACATATTTTATGGATTCTTCACAGGAAAGTTTATGAGGTCCAAATGTATGGTGCATTCAATGCCAGATTCTACTACGCAAATGATGTACTTAAAAAAGAAAACCCATAGTAGTTTCAACATAAGCATGTACTAACTATAAATGATAAAACAAATTCATTGTAAAAGAACTGCATGATTCCTCCTCATGCTAAATAAATGCAATTATCCACAGCACTGTTTCAGTAAATAAACCATGTACCCACCCCATAGTAACAAAACTCCAAATTATGAAAAGCATAGCTTCTCCCCATCCTTTGAGAAAAGTTTAAAAATCTATAGTACATTTTCAAGTTATTAATGAAACAAAACAAGCCAAAATATGCAGGCTATCAAAGGGGAATACTGACACGCAGTGTTTGGGCCCATGTAAATAAGCATAACTGCATTATAATTTCACAATTAATTCAAGACTGCAGGGCAGTATCACTTAAAAAACTCTGAGACCTATGAATTCATAAATTGGAATAGGTTCAAAATATTCCATTTTATCCACATTCTACTGGGTTCACTTTCACAGAATGTAACAAGAAGAATTTTGGTCTTATGTCTTAAAGTCAAATGGAAAAGGAAATAACATCTATTAAATATCTACCATGTGTGAGACTGATAATCTTTACACAGTCTCATTGAACTGCCACAGTAATTCTGTAAAATTATTAGTGCTATGCCCATTTTTCAGACACCCAAGACAGTGAAGCTGGGCCCACAATCTAAGTGTTTTGGCTTTTAGTCTAGAACTGTTTCTACAACACACTTGCTTCCGGAAGTTTCAGAAATCATCACATTCGGCACTTCCCAAACTAAATTCCATGAAACTGGAAGCGTCACTAAGATGTTAACAGATGTTCTGAGAAAACAGGGGCTCTGGGGGTCAAAAGTTTGGGACAAATGACATCAGAATTTCCTAGAAGTTTAAGAGGCACATTAGGACACTCCAAGAAGATGATAAAATAGGAAGTGTTCTGCTAATTTATTAAACCATGAAGACCTTTTTCAAAGAAAACCTAATAACATCCCATGGATGCTTGTGCTCAACTAAGCACAATTTGGAAAATGATCATCTAGTCTAATCTTTTCCTTCTTTGCAGAAAGATTCAATGACTCACTGAGGCCACACGGAAAGATACTAACAGGACCAGGGCTGGCACTGAGGAGGCCTGATGACCCCACCAGGATGCTCCTGCCCCTATGGCATCTTGTCTTCCCACTTCAATACTGTTTCTATAAAGTTCAACACCAATTAAAAGGAGGGAGGGGGGTATTACATTAATCATTTATTCTGATTCTTCTGAATAGCAGCAGAGAAACCATTTATAAACATTAAGCTCAAAAATGGTCTACCCCCCGCCGCGCTGGTGGTATTCTAGATATATCTGAAAATGTGGAAAATGATTCCACTTTAATAATGCTGAACAACACTTCATAGCCAAGTGGTGCTATATTCATGATTTTCTTTGAAGTGAGATAGAACTGCACCCTAGTACTGCATACAGGCATTGCCAGAATTTAAAATATCCCACTTATGACAATCTTCATAAAGAGTTATTTGTTTATTGTTTTCCCCTTATCCCTTTGCCCTAATGGGGCTGCCTTTCACTTAGTTCTACCCCTTCCAAAAAGTATTAACAGTCCTGGGCCAAGGATGCCATCTGGCGTTTCCTTCAGGAATTGTTTAACCCAACATACCTTCCAATTAAGCTCTAACCATCTGGCACCTCTCCAAAGCCACAGGCCCCTTTCTTCCGGTTCTTCCCCTTTACCTCAGCAAAACTTTTTTTTTTCCCTTTCTGCTGTTTATCCCAACTGCGTGAAACATAAATATTTCATTTGTGTCATTCTAGTTACAGAATAATCATGAGTCTGAAATACACTTGTAGCAAAAGAAAAAGCCACAGTATACAATACAGCCCCAGAAATGCCCTGGCAGAGGGCTTGCCTCACTACAGGTCCTTAGAATGCCTATTATTCATCCAATGTCTTCTAAGACTACCAGTGCTGAGAAGGACCTTGAAGATCACTGTCAGACCAACTTCTTCATTTTATAGCTAAAGAAGCTGGCTCTGTGAGGAAAAAAAAATTAAGCCATCGCCGGCCCACCAGCACTCAGTGAGGGTTCCTGGCAGAGCAAGGATTAAGGCCTGGGATCCCCATGCCAAAGCCAGTGCTTGTCACGTACACCATACACTCCAGGCTCCTCAAGACTGTTTTTGTTTTTTTTCACAACTAACATTCAAATTAAATATTTTGTGTGTGTGTTTTTTTTATATTCTCCTTAATAATTACGCAGGGCTCATCACTATATACCCTCAATCCCATGCCTAACAGTGCTGAGCATACTTCATAAATATTCATTAACTATTTTTTCTAGTATTAATTACTGTACTTATTGCAAATCTAGAATACTTTCACTACATTATGCATTAGAGATGCCTTTATCTGAGTAAAAATCTAACTGCCATTTTCTAAAAATGTTTCTATGAAAAAAAACTGTTTCCAATAATCATCACCTTTTGGAACAGTGTTCAGAAATCTGGGACTTCTTTTTAAGAGTTCCTGTCCACCTGATCAGTCTTGACCGAACAAGGATAAAAAGAAAATTGTGTGTGTGTGTGTGTGTGTGTGTGTGTGTGCAGCATGGAGGGGGAAAGAAACCAACTTTGAAGAAAATGGGAATTTTGTAGTTGCTTTATAATCACAAGACTTTAGGCAAGCTCAGTCTTCTCTGCCATAAAATACTCCTAAACCTTAAGCTCAGATCTGATATGTGTAAACATTTTTGAAATTACAGATATCAATAATGATTACAGGTATTATTAATAATAGTAATTTATATTCTAGACCCTGACTAACCATTTTACATACAGTGTGCCACGTAATTCTTACAGCCCTGGTTTATACACGAGAAAAACCGAGCTTAGCAAGTTAAGAAACTTGTCCCTGGTCAAAGCTAAGAGTTGAAGAATCCAGGATACGAGCTTAAGTCAAACTGCACAGCTGGTGCTCCTAACAGGTGGGGGATAATGCAAGGCCGACTTTACAGAAAAATGAACTGCTCTTCACCCGCAACCCCTGGGGTTCTGAAGTCAATGAAGCAAGAAGGCAGCTCAACCACCTCAACCTTTTCAGGTTATAACTAACTCCACAGTGAAACATCTGAGTGCAAAGAAAATAAGAATAATTGAGGAACTAGGTCTTTTCTCGTCTTAGTGGGCCAGTTCAGGGCCCTGCAAGGATTTGGCCTTCTGGGCTTAGGCCTGCTCGATTTGGGGAGAGGGAAGGGGGCTACCCTGGAGCCAGTGAGGCTCTTGATCACGGATCTCATTCAAGGTGTAAATTTGTGAGTGTAAATTCTTGACTGGAGATCATCAGAGTGCCCGCGACAAAGAACCGCTGGACTAGACTAGACTTCTGGATTTGCCAGCCTCTCCAACTGCGGGCAGGCCTCGCGAGGAGGAGCTTTGTTACGCGCGCCCAGAGGGCGGGCTGGCGGGCGGGCTCTGCGCTTTCCCTTTCATACCGCGGCAGCGGGAACCCTGGAGCGGCCGGGGCTCGGCTAATGGCTGCGGGGCGTGGCGGAGGGACCGCGGCTCGGGGCGGGCTGCTGGCCGTGCCCAGGGCGACAGGGCACCACTGGCCGCGCTGCGTCTCTGCGCTCCGCCTCTGGGGACTTGGACCGCCGCTCACCTCGCAGGCGATTCCGGTGGCTGGGCGCGGGCCCCCGCGTGCAGGAAGGCGGTGGTCGGGACCGCGGAGCCACCGCGCAGGGCCCGAAGGAGACAGGGAGGCCGCACGGGTGGCACAGGTTACCCCCGAGCCTCTTCCGCCGCGCCCAGCGAGCTACTTACTGAAGAAGAGGCGGTAACCCGCCGAGTGGGGATGGCCGCGCTCCTCCGTGCGGTACATGGCCATGGTGCGGCGCGGCCCGGGCCCTGCGATCGCTCCCCCTGCCAGGCGGGCGACGACGGGGGCGCCCGCGCGACAGCCCCAGCCGGTGCGCAGCAGCGGCAACAGCGCGCGCATGGCGTCGGCAGCGGTACGGCTCTTCGCGGAGCGGTGCCCGGGCCCCGCCTGGCCGCGCGCCGGCGCCCCCTACCGCCTGGAGTCGTCGATCCCCGTCCTGGCCTCGCTGGCTCTGGAGACTGATCCGAGAGAGAAATCGGAGCGCTCAGCAGATTGCCAGTAATGCACACTGCACCCCCAGCGGGTCCGGAGTCCAAAGATGGGCAAGACAAGGTCCACCGCCCCTGAGGAGCTCACTGCCATTTATGAATGCATGCATGCATTCATTTCTTCACTCAGCCAGTCCATATTTACTATCATTTTATTTTGATTACATTGATATATACTGTGTGACTACTCTATGCGACAAGCAAGCACACACACAAAAACATCATTGTAAGATGTAGTGATCAGGCCGCTTTGTGAAGACTTGACCTTGACTTTGCTGACTTTAGAGCAAAAATGATAATTAACTTCCCATCTCCTCCATGAAGTTCTTATTTAACCCAAGTAAAGGTGGTTTATCCTTCCCTTTTCTTACATTTTAACTTCTATAATGGCACTTGGTACTGTATCTATGTTTGTGAACCTATCATGTTTCCTATTTCACCCTGGATTGTTAACGTGCCAAGCATTCAGGACTCAAGATTTAGTGCCCTTGCAGGATGTAGCACCATGCCTTGCATATAATAATGGTACCTTTGTTGTTGAGTTAAATTGCCCCTGGAACTTCCTCTCAGCAAATCTTTCTCATTAGCATATAAATTCTATTATGGACGTTCCAGAAAAACTCGTGGAAACAATTGTGCATAGGCACGATCTCCACTTCTTCATACCCTTCCCTCATTTCAATCCAAACTGGCTACCTCCCCGTTCTCAAGGTCATCCAGTGACCTCCTTGTTGTCAAACATGAAGGTCAATTTTCAAGTGAGAGTGAGAGAATCCTAGAGAGCAGTAAATACGATTTTTAAAATTAGACATTAAAACTTTAAAAGAAAATTAAATATTTCAGTTATTATACTACAAAAGTAAAAGTAAGAAGAGTAGCAATTCGCCTGGCAGGTGTGACTCAGTGGCTGAGCGTCCACCCGTGTACCAAGAAGTTGCTGTTTTGATTCCCGTCAGGGCACATGCCCAGGTTGTGGGCCAAATCCCCAGTGGGGGTCATGCAGGAGGTCACCAATGGAAGTTCTCTTTCATGGATGTTTCTATCTCTCTGTCCCTCTCCCTTTCTCTCTCTCTTTTCTCTCTCTCTCTCTCTCTCTCTCTCTCTCTCAAATCAATAAATTTAAATTTTTTTAAAAAAGAAGAGTAGCAATTCTACATAGACCAATATAATGTGCTTGTGATTTTTGCAAAACCTAAGTGAAATTGTTTTAATTAAAAGAGAAGGCATTTTTAAAATAATAATTTTTTAAAATACTGTAATAAAAATAAAATGTTAGTAAGCACAATGAATACATAAATTTATAAAAAATATTCTTACTTAAAATCTCAGCACTTACAAGATAAGACAAACATCTCTACGTAGATTATATTAACTAACTTGTAGTGATTAAGTTACAATCACACATCTGATCCTCATCTAAACTAGTTAACCTCTCTCTGTCCCATGGCTACAAACTATGTATATCCTTTGGTTATTAATGTTAACAAAATAGACAATTTAAAAAATCAGTTGAAACGTTTACTCACAACAATCTGAAAGCAACATATTTTACTAATGTGACTCTACAGTCATCATGTAACTTTATAGGAAGAGAATAATACATCTAGGCAATGGTCAGAATTTCGATCAATATAAATGTCTAGAGGTAGGTAATACAGGGCCCTTTCATATGAGGGAGCCAAGTTATTTCTATCTTGTTGCTCTGATGTGTTTGATCTCTAAGGTAATCCTCATAGTTCAAAATAACTGCTACAACTCCAACCATCACATCTTCATTTCACCTGACAAGAAAAAAGAAGAAAAAAAGAAAGGTGTGCTCCTTCCCCTAAGAACACATTCCAGAATTTGCATGCACCTTCTACTTTCACCTCAATAAGCAGAACTTAGTCTACTGGCCACAACTAACAGCCTTTTTTTCTGGGTGGTCATAGGCCCAGATAAAAATTAGGAGCCCATGCCCTGGCAGGTGTGGCTGAGTTGGTTGAATGCTGTCCCCTGCACCAAGAGGTCGCTGATTTGATTACTGGTCAGGGCACGTACCCAGGAGGGACTCCAGAGTGTTCTACAGGGTCAGCTGAGGTTGTGGTTGTTGTCCAATCTTGCAGGGGGGACGTGCAGGAGGGGGCCAATCGATGTTCTCTGTCATCGATGTTTCTCTCTCGCTCCTTTCCTCTCTCTCCAAAATCAGTAGAGAAATTATTTTAAAAAGAAAACAATGAATTTTATTGTTTTCATTTATTATTAATCACTTATATCCCCATCTTTCGTTCCCTACAATTTACTGAAATATTGTATTTTATTTTTTTTGAGTCAAATCTTTTTTTTTATTGTTCCAAAATTAAAGTGTTTATTTTTTAACTTGGCACAGTATATGATGGACATTTTTCCATGTGCATATATAAATAGGTTTTCCTCAAATTATTTAGTAGCTGTGTAGCATTTATTTGTATGATTCTACCATAATTTACTTAACTTTTTTTTATTTTATTTTTTAGTTTTATTTTTGTTACAGTTGTTTCTTCTGTTTTACCCCATTGACACCCTCCTCCCCATCCCCCCACCCCATCCCCAGCTTTGTTGTCCATGTCCATTGGTTATACATACATGCATATAAGTTCTGTGGTTTTATCTCTTCCCACCCCCCACCATCCCCTCTTCTGAGATTTGTCAGTCTGTACCCTACTTCCGTGTTTCTGGGTCTACCCTATTCCTCAGACTGTTATATTCATTATATTCCATATATAAGTGAGATCATGTGGTATTTGTCTTTTTCTGCTTGGCTTATTTCACTTAGGATAATACTTTCCAGGTCCCTCCATGTTGTCTCAAAGGATAAGAGATCTTTCTTTCTTACAGCTGTAAGTACTTACACAATAGTACTCCATTGTGTATATGTACCACATCTTTTTTATCCACTCGTCTACTGATGGACACTTGGGCTGTGTAATATCAATGATAACACATAATAATAGGTAAACCAAGTCATGTTCTTAAAAAAATGTTTAGCTATGAATTTCTGAGGGTAATATTTATTACATAATATTTAAATATATTCAACAAATATGTTGGAGAGTAAAGACAAATACACACAAATGATATTTCCAGAGTTTACAAAATACAAAATCACCAGAGTTCTTGAATAGGGAATTGATTTTATAAACTAATGATTTAGGAAAACTGATTTATAAGTAATATATAGGAGGGACCAGAATAGGAAATATGAGACAAGGTTTCCACGTATTGATAGTAACTTAAATATCAGATTATAAGTACCCAGGCGTTAATCCTAGCAGTGGAAACAGAAGGGAATGTTGGATTTGAAAACAATCACAAAATATGATGCCCAATTAGAAGTAGGAAAATGACAATGGAAGAGTAAAAAATATATATATATATCAATTTTCTATACAGAATAATCAAAAGACATGTAGTAGTATTCTCAGATGAAAGGAAATAAAATCAGGAGAGAAACTGGACACAGGTGATAAACTTGCCTTGGGGCATGTTGAATTGGAAACAATGCAGAGAGCTCCCAGTGAAGATAAAAGTATTTCATCTGAAGGATTCTCTAGAAGCCACCTCTGAGGTCAAGTTCAGTAGTTTGTATTGTGTTTACTAGGTTGTACCCTGGGGACTAGTATATGGAAGTATAGGTAGAAAAGCAAGATTGGACAACAACCACAACTTCAGCTGACCCTGTAGAACACTCTGGAGTTCAAATGACCAGTAGAGTTGTCCGGTGTAGGGCCAATACCACTGGATGTTCCTAACCCCAAATGATTGGATGTAGGCTTCTCTAGAGAGGGCATGACTCCAGCAAAGTGGCTAAGGCCATCCCTGAAGAGGCTGACAACTAACTCAGAAAGTCCTTCATGAAAGTGCCATATCCCAGTGACTCCCACAAACTGGGAAACTGCAGTAGGGATGGGAGTTGTAGCTAAAGGAAAATTAGATAATTAGTGAATCCCAGTTCTGTGTCTGCTTTTTGCATTGGTAAGTACAACACAAAATCTACCTGGTTATAGTTATCATTTTCTGAAATGCTGGATGCTCCTAATAAGAAATAAAAGAATTTCAGAATTGTGAAGTAGTCATTTGTGTGTTAACTTTTATAAAAGCAGCATATGGTTCTAAAATGAATTTTTTATCCTTACAACATGATAAATAAGCAAATTTGTTTTCTTTTCTAATTGTCATTGCTCATGCTTGCCGGCCAATAGTTAGCTTTAGAGGGGGTAGGCTATGAAATAGAGCAGTATTTAATAAAAGTAATGAGAATTTTAAAACAATTTTGAACTTTTTCTAATGTACATATTTAGTGATACACAGACTGTAATATTTCCCTGGCCTTTTGAATATTTCATCTAAAAGGAGAATTTAAAAAACACTCTTGTTATCGGTGAAATGTGTGAATTGCCTTTCTCTGTTGCTAGTGGGAGTGGGGTTCTTGGGGGTACCACTGGAATAAGCATTTCCAGAGGCCCCCACAGGAGGATGAGAGGTGGTAGAAAGCTTTATTTGTGTGGCATTACATCCCTCAGTTTGCAAAGTCCCATGTCCTTTAGTCCAATCCTGGAAAAAGCGCAGCTGGAGATTCAGCAGAGCTCAAAGCAAAGCTAGTGCCCAGAGCTTCTGTCCCATGGTGGAGCTGCTTCTGGTGTAGCACCAGGCTGGTCACAGGCCATTAATCCATTGTGTGGGCAAATGCAGGAGGCTGAAAGCACCGCAAACCAGGAGTCAAACGCAACAAGCCAAGAGGCAGGAGAGCAAGA